ATCAACAACCATTGTTTCACCATGATGAATCCACACTATGTGGTCCGAAACAAATCCTCTCCTAATCAGATGTTCTTTGATGGTACTCACATCTCGAAATGCAATAAGGTTCTTGCAATCTTTGCAGGGACAAATAATCATGTCACTATTCTCTTTCAACATCGCTGCATGCTTCTCTGCGGCTTTGATGAATTTGTCCACCTCATCACGAAAAAGTGCGTCGTGTCTTAACGAACCATACATCCAAGAGTTCCTATAGTCCATCTTATAGAAACAAAACAACCAAAAAAAGAATATTACTCGAGAATAATTGTATATACCTGAGACACGCACCATGGTAGTAGATGATAGTTAATTAATTGACTATTAATGCATAAATATTTTAAAATATAAATTAATTGGTTCAAATAAACAATTTCAAAGAAAACAATTAGCAACATTTAATATTTCATCCACTACCTTTCATGTTAAACTCCATTTCAATTTTATGGTAGAGGATAATTAATTAATGGTATATTTATCCATAACTAATTAAAACACACATTATAGAAAGGAATCAAAATAAATATTAATGATAATTAGTAGCCATGGTAGAGGATATTTTACATATTAGCAACAATTAAAATCTTACACATTCACCTACATGCAAACCCTAGTCACATAAAGAAAAAATTGAAAAAAAACAAAATCCTAAATCTAGATCTAGATATAGGGTTTCATGACACATACACCAAACTTCACTAATACTACACTAAAATCAACAAAGATGTACTAACAAAGGATGCAATCTTACTTCTCTACCTAATTTACCCTAGTATAGTGAAAATTAGGGTCCAATCTCACTCATAACTAACTCAAGCTCCATGGAAAAGAGAGAAAACAAAAATCAAATTACTCACTAACCAACGAATTAAACTTCAAATAAAGAGTTGGAGAAGCATTTCCTTACCTTTTAGAGCCTCTCCACCAAAGAATTTGAGATCAAAACCTCCTCCCTTAGTAGAGCAATTTTTAGGAGGAGTCTAAGGCCTTCCAACATTTTTTTATGTAGAAGAAATGTCCCAAGGTGGAAGAAGGGGGTGACTACTATTTATTCATGCGCCATCAGTAGGGACGACTGGTGATTCAGCCGCCCCTACAGTCAAACAGCAGGGGCGGCTGGTCCCCTACAAATGGACACTGCAGGGGCGGCTGGTGATTGAGCCGCCCCCTACAATATCATCTGTAGGGGCAGCTGGGCTGATGGGGCCCGAGGACGCCCACTATATAGGGCGTCCTCAACTCCAGCCGCCTCTATAGTAAAAATGTCTCCGTTTCTAGTGTGAGAATCTGGTGTAGTGAACCAGGCTATCTCCGCCCCTGGTAGCTCCATGTAGGGGTGTAGGACGTATGAACCAAACGAAATGCTGGTGACGTGCATTCATTCGATCGATAGTATTAGACGCATTGCCAGCAATATCCACTTGGATAAGCATATCGACCAATAGTTCAAGGTTTATACGGCCAAACGAGTTGCTAGCAGCCGGCCAGGCGGCCACGACACTTATATTAGCTTGGACAAGGTGAGGGCATGACCTGTGCTTTCGTCCAGTGGTGACGCTTTAATTTCAAGTTTTCAAGGAAAATATGGTCATCGGGTAGTAGTGTAGTACTCTGATGTGGTTTGCCTTTCATTTTCAGCGTCAGTTTTCCGATACGAAATGATGTACTAGTCCCAACCAAAGTCGTCGCCTCCATCTAGAAGACCCTGATGAATCACATGCCCAAATATCAGCCATATATTTCTTCAAAAAAAATATCAGACATATATTTGCCTTATCCATAGTAGCAAAGTAACTCGTCAAACAGGAAACCAATATTATTCTATATAAGATAACTTATGTGGCATAATTAAAAATCTAAAGCAATCCTATTTTTAAGTTAACACGCTTTGGTGCAAGATTATATATCATGGAGTCCACTTTCAAGCCAACCAAACAAGTCAACAACTAAACGAGGAGGAAAGAGCAACCAACGTGACAGCGTGTTTCGTCCCAAGAGCACCCTGAACACCTCATGTGCATGTCTACACCTCATGTGTTACCCGTAACATAATAGTAACATCATCTTATCGCCGTTCACACATTAACTGCTCAACTTCTTCCTCTGACGAATTTCCAAGTGCAGACATGCTGCCATGTGACCGGTTTAGGTCCCGTTTGGATGGGATTATAAAATCCGAATTCTGGATAAAAGTAATCTCTGAAGTTTCTTAGATTCTGTGCATGTTTGTGTAAATCCCCTAAAATCCTGTTTTGTTTGGGTGAGATTCTAGGATTTTGAGTTTCTTTTTATCCGGATTCTTAAAATCTCATGATTATCAAATGCAGTGATGGATGCAGAATATGATTGAAAGGGAGGGCTGGTCTCTTCTTCTTCCTCTCTCTCCATTTTTCTTCTTTCCTCCACCTCTTCTTCTCCCTCATCCTCCTCATATTTTCATTGATGCACCAGCTGTAGGGGGGCTGAAGCCCCCCAACCCCCACATTAGATCCGCCCCTAACCAAATGGTACCTTAGTATGTAGAAACATAAACAAAATATTTTTGTCCAAGTATTGATGTGACAATGTATCTCGCAGAAAGGGCACACTGGGCATCTCATGTGCAGCCCTCACCAACGCAATCCAGAGGAGAAACGAACAACAATAGCAATGGAATGGGCGATGAAGCAGTGGCAAACCCCTAGTGCAACTCGATCTCCTCTAGCCATCCTAAGTGGCCAAGCCCTAGAAGGAGAAAAGGGCAGGAGCCCTACTACCTATTTTAGGGACATTGAGCATGGTAAAATCATCGATGGGTGGTGGCGTTATGGAGACATCGGACAATGGCATGGTAGGTTTTACCTCCTCTAAAATTTAAGTGCGCTTCGCCACTGCTTGGGAGGAATCCTGTCAACAAAAATGTATGTCGATTGCCCTAGGCTCAATAGGTTAATTAGGAACGCCTCTTATACATAATAGACACGTGAGAAACAAACAACACTAGAGGTTGGAAAAGTTTAGCGGAGGAAAATGCTAAAGAAAATAGATGATTGATATATTCATCAAATGAATAATATAATGGCCTTGAATAGTTTTGGCCCCAACCTTATTTACAGGGTAAGAGATCCTGACCCATTTTGAGTCGAAATCCACGAAAGCCTTCAAGTTAACATCATCTTTCTTTCTTTTTTCTTAAAGACTTCCTCCATCCACGTTAGATCGGAAGTTTCAGTCAAGAACACTGGACATTCTAACTGTATCAAAATTGTCATTATTTGGTTCTTGAGTCTGTTGAGGCTAACACACCCGAGTGGTGTTCCAACTAGAACGCCGAAATTTAGGATATATATATATGTTTTAGTTATCAACATTACTTTTTATATTGAAGGAGGCTGGAGCTGACCTAACTTTCCAATCCCCGGGTTGGAAAGACAGGCCCCCAACTACCGGGCATTAAAATGTCCAAGCAAAGCATACTCCCTCCATACCTAATATATATCGTTTTCGTTTCACGAAAAATAATTTTGGCTAAATATATATTAAAAATATTAATATTTATGATACATAATTAGTATTATTAGAAAGATTTTTGAATCTAGTTTTTTAATAAATTTATTTTAAAATATAAATGTTGCACGTATTTTCTAAAAATCGAATCAAACTTGTGACACGTATATCAATGATGACAGTTATTTAGGGACAAAATAAGTATCAGATAAGCTAGCTAATCCATCGTACGAACACGGAATATTTTTCAGTGCCAATTGTGCAACAGGATAAGATCACATTGCACATGCAGTCATCCTCCGGCCCCACACTCTCTTTCCTTCCCCAACACCAAACCTAGTATTATAAAGTACTATAATTATGACATTTGCTCACATTGGAGATGCAAGTGTAAGGATTAGGGCATCAACCGAAGAGAAAAAAATAAAATTATTAACCAGCACAGGATCCCTCAATCACCACCCCTTGGTGCAGTTCGCTGGTCTGGTTTGACCAGCTAGCCGCTGCTCCCCCTCTCAATTGGCTGTTCATCAAACCAAGTAAATAATATTTCTCTCTTACAACAATTCAGCCGGAATATCTATTTCAGCTATCGGGTTGTCTGTTCTCACTCTGACTCAAAACAACTCGCCACGGAAACTTAAAAAAACCAATTCTCCACTGAGCAATCACGCGCGGACCAGATCATGTTTTTGTGTATGAAATCAATGTGGCAGAGCCGTCAAGAAAGATGTTGATTCACGCACCGAGCAGGAGATCACCCACCAAAACGAAGCAAAGGAACTCCACGCTATTTTTGGCAGCGACTTTGGATTAGTTTATGTGGCAACTCGTTGCTGTTCTCCCCATGTTTGAAACCAGGGGGCGTTTGCCTCGAGATTATAGGAGCCTTTCCACATTGTTGTCGATCCACGCACGCCGCACCACGCGGAATGAAGGAAGCAGGGATGGATCCAGTGGATGGATGCATCCGCTGCTTTTCCAAAAACAAAGATCACTATACTATACTACTAGTAGCTGCAAAGTGACTTTCGTCGCTGTGATCAGATCAGACTTTGATCCTCACTCATTGGCCGCTTCATCTCACCAAAGCATAGCAGTATAGCACTGCCCACGGCCAATTGGCAATCCCAATCAGCCTGTGGCATAGTGCAATCATGGGATACCTCATCGACCAAATCACAGCACAGCAGCAAATTAATCAAAGGCAGTTAACCACCATGATCATCATTTGTTAATGATCACCTTCGCTTGACTTATAAAGCGTACTTTTTCGGCCAATGCAAACACCATGGCTATCCGCCACGCGAACAGGGCAGATCGATGAACTTCTTCCGAGTCTGAGGTCAAAGAAAGCCAGGAGGATGAACACAACAAACATGGATCTTATACACCGGAACCATATAATAAGTGGCTACTCATCTCTAATGGCCAAGCGGCTAGGCCAAAGCTGGGAAGCAAATCTGCGGCTGCTAATCACTACCATCAGTGCTGCTGCTATTGTGGAGATCAGACAGTGAGAAGGACCTAGGAGATCTGAAGCTCCCAAGGCCATTCCTCCTCTGCATGCCAACACCGCCGAGCCTAGTGGGAGGCAGTGGCAATGCCGGCGCGTCCCTCACGTTCTTGCCGCGGTGCGGCAGCTGGCTGTATTCCACGTCGTCGTCGGAGTCGTCCTCCTCGCCCTCGTCCCCCTCGGCGACGGCGTGGTCGGGGCCCAGCAGCGGAGGCAGGTAGGTGGCCGTGGCCAGCGAGCTGCAGGAGGCTCGCCTGGACCAGTTGGCCAGGATGCGGCGGCGCTTGTTGAAGGGGTTCTCCGGCTTGGCCAGCAGTTCCTTGGCCGCCGCCACCGTCGACGTGGCCTCGGCGAGGCTGGTGAACGACTTGGACTTGCCGGAGTAGAAGCTCGAGAGGCCCTTCCTGATCAATCAACCAAATTAAAAGTCTCGAGTTAATACCATGCGCAATTTGAGGCGATTTTGCGTGAAAGCTACCATCTTTTTCCTCGGCTCGCTGTTGTAAATAAAAGAGGGGGAAATCCATGGACTGCATAGCAATGTTGCTAGGCCCCCAGAAAAACATCTCCTTTTCAATTAAAAAGGTCCCATTTGCAAAAGCAAGCAAAATAGCATGAGCGATCCAAGACGGGTAAAGAAAACCGAAAGCTTTATGAACTCACTTGATGGGCAACGAGTCCTCGAGCGCATCCAAGCAACCGAGCTCATCGCCCTCCTTGAGCTTGCTCTCGACCTCCTCCTCCCCGTCGTCCCCGCCGGCCTCCGACGAGGAATTCTCACCGATCGACGAGCCCGACGGTGACGGCGTGCCGATCGACGAGGTATCGGTCAGCACCTCTTCCTCCGCCTCCTCCTCTATGAAGAAGCCGTCGCTCCTCCTCTTCCCGACCGCCGCCACGTCCGCCTCCTTCCCGTGCCCGCCGCCGCTCCCCTTGCCGGATCCGGGGAACCCGTAGGGCGGCCGCACCTCCGCCACCGCCGTCGACATGTCGCCTGAGCCGCGAGATTCGACGGTCCGCTTGTTGCCAGTGTGTGTGGAGTAAATTGAGCAAATCTCGGGTGGATTGGATATGTGTGTCCGTCCAAGAACAGGGACAGGAACTCAACAAGCTGGTATGAGAGAATGAGGGGAAGAGAGAGAGAAGGAAAACGCAGGAGGCAGGAGGATAGGATAAGAGCAAGGATCAGGAAGGCCGCAAAGCCCCAGGATCCTCTGCAGCCAAAGCACAAAATACGCGTGGTATGTGTGCTGTTGCGCAATTGACGCTAGTATCCCAAATGCACGTGGTATGTGTGCTGTTGCGCAATTGACGCTAGTATCCCAAATGCACGTCAATGGTCGGTGTTTTGAGGTGTCACTGATAAGTAAATTTTTAATATTACGTGTGTAACATAGATGGTGTGCTAAGAGAATATAAGATTTATATTGGTTCGGGTAGAATGTCCCTACGTCCAATTCATTGCTGCTACTCGTGTTACTAGCACTGAAAGTTCGTAGTAGGGGTTACAAACGGTCGAGAGAGGGACGGGTCCCAAGTCTCTGGTGGTGTGTTGCGATGAGTTTCGATCGGTTAGGATTTGAGTCGAGCTCGTATGTGTTCGGATCGGTCGAGTTCGATGCTTTGTTCGATGTCTTTAATGGGACGCCATGCTTTCTCTTTTATAGGCCAAGGAAAGCAGGGGTTACAGCGGAGGGAGAAAAGGGGAATCAGAAGGAGAAGAAGTTCTCTAAGATCGCCGGGTTCTTCTTCTCTTCTACGCGGGTCCCGTCGATCCTGTAATTGTTAACAGGGACAACATCACGTCACGGCCCTATCCATCACTGACGCCATGTGCAGACGTCGTCTGCCGGTCATGGTGCTCCACTCCGTCCTGACGAACATCGTGGTGAACCGATGCGCCCGTCAGTGTTCGTACGAGGGTTAGGCAGAACAGCACCGGTTCGCCCAACGTTGTTCCTGATGTGAGTCTTCAGGTATGGCCCGTCACGGCAACGGGTCATATCGGGGCGTGTCGGTCGCCTCCCTGGTGTCAAAGCTTTGACCCAGGTCCATACGCTTGGAACTAGAGTGGTCGGTGGCGGTATGGGTCTCCGACGGACGAGATGGAGCCCCCGGCCTCGGGGTCGGGTGAGGCGGAGTTTCTCCCCAGAGGCCGGGCGAGGTGAAGCCCAAACCCAAGGGTCGAGCGAGGCGGAGCCAGTCCTTAGAGGTCGACAAGGCGGAGCCACCCTCAGGGGTCGGGCGAGGCGGAGCCCGCGACCTCGGTGTCGGGCGAGGCAGAGCCAACCCTCAGGGGTCGGGCGAGGCGGAGCTTGCGCACCTGGGGGTCGGTTGGAGCTATAGTCACGCTCTTAACTGCTCGGATGAATCATTGTTGACCGTTATTATCTCCTCCTCTTCGAGTAACCTGGTATTGGTCCCCGACACTAGCCCTCGAGCCTGCGGAGGAGTAGAATACTCCTTCGAAGGTTTTTCCGAATAGGAGGACTCTGAGGGACTTGGCCTTCTTTTGTTCCTCACGGTATGTCTAGGGGACGGCGATTCCCTCTCGTCGAGGTCGGACAATTCGCGGGTATGGTAGTGAGACTTGGTGGGTTTGTTAGCTGGCTAGTTTAAGTGGGGTCCCAGCATCCCGTTCGCGGGGATCCAACTAGGGTCAGCTTGGTGACCAACTTTAGGTACTTAGCGGTTAATCCATATAGTTCTCGGGTCCGTTCGTCTGATCCCGAGGGCTCTCTGCCTTTCTTCGGGAAAAACCATGGATCATATCCGGCCAAGACTCGATCGTGAGCCGGGATGCCCGTGGCGCTCATGCACCTAGGTACTGGCCGCTTACGGGCCCATTCCTTACCCTAAGGGTGCCCAGAGTAGTTGTCAAACCCATCGATGGGCCAATCTTCGAACTCCTAGGCCCAGGTGGGCTGTGGAGGTGTTTTTTTGATCCGTATTCCTCTTGCTTGCGATGAGTCGTGGCCCGTCCGGAGAGGCGAAATGCCCGGAGAGTTTTCTGAGGGAACGAACAAAGATTGCGTGTGCACTTCCCGCGGTGAGACATTGTGATGGATCGTGGCAGGCGCAGAGATCTAAGCGGGCGGTTGGTTTTCTCGCACCTGTCACCCCTATAAAACCAAAGAGTTCACCCCCGGGTTCCATACCATGCATCATTGCCTCCGCAGCCACGACCTCCGCCACTAATCGCCTAGGGTTCCCCATCTCCGCATCCCCACCGTCGTCGAGCCCGCATCCAACCATCCCCACCTCTAATGGATCCGTGGTGCCACTCTGACATCACCTTCCAGCGCATGGAGGGCCTCGTCCATCGCTGTCTTCTCCACGCGCGGACCTCAGGCGAGGAGTGGCTGCTGCCCGGTCTTTGTGACCCCCACCCATAGATTTCTTCAGGGGCTGCTGCACTACTATAAGATCGAGTTGTAGCACCTCAATCCCAATGGGATCCAACACATGGTGGCATTTGTCGCCCTGTGCGAGGGATTCCTGGGGATCAGCCCCCACTTCGATCTGTGGAGGCACTTCTTCGTCGTCACCCTCTAGAAGAAAAGGGAGAAGAGCGGCAGGCAGGAGCTGCATATGCCGATGGGGTGCACCGACATCTAGCTCCGAAACAATCGGGTCGATGAGTACCCACCCATGCGGCTCTCGACGTCCAACAAGGGGTGGCACTCGTTAGAGTTCTCCGAGCTCCTGATCAAAGAGGCCTCGGAGTCATGGAGAAAGTGGGGCATCCCAGAGAAGGATAAGAAGAAGATCCGGGACCACATCGCCGCCATCCACATCCTCAAGGAGAATGGCATGAAGGGGTCGGGCGTCATCGGAGCCTACCATGCAAGGAGGGTGGCGCCGTTGATGATGCGTGCGCTCCCGCTATACGCGATGGAGCTCAAGGCGTCACTCGATGGAACGGCGCTTGCCGAGGGAGCACCACCCACTCCGAGGTCACGCAGCGCATCAAGGAGGCGATGAAGCCTTTGTAGGACGACGTGGGTGCCCCCCTTGACTTCGTCTACCCTATACTAGGACATCCTCCGATGCGGCCGGAACCAGGCCATGTCATCTTCGTAAGTTTCCTCTCCTCATACCTCCTCTTCAACTGATTTCTCGACCTCTTGATACTAACTTTGAGAGGGATGGGACCAGCCAAGGGAACTCATCTTCATGGATCACTTGGCGCCATTGCTGAGGGATTCGTCCGTGCGGGCGGCGAATCACGCTGAGGATGAGCGGCTGAGGAAGGAGAAGGAGGACAAGAGGAAGAAGAAGCAGCAGAAGCTGCAGACATGGGAATGGGGGGAGGACACCAATAGCGACGACGATGATGATGATGGCGACGACGTTGAGGTAGCCAAAGATGTCGAGTGGGACATCCTAGAGAACGAGAATGCACTGACAGGTATCAATTCGTCCTTGCAGGAGTCAGGACCCTTTCCATTCCATGGAGGGGAGGGTACGTCTAGGAAGCCAGCGGAGGCGGGATGTACCGTTGGCCTCCCTCAGGAATCAACAAAGGTTGGCGGCTCTGCCGCCACGCCTGAGGTGCCAGTGGAGGCGAGTGGCTCCACCGTCGCGCCCCAAGATCCAAAGGGAGCGAGCCCCTCTGCCTAGGAGCAAGGGGTGGGCAGAAAATGGCCCCGCCCTGACGAGGCAGAGCAGAGGTCGGAGGGTTCGCCCCCCAAACGTATCTGCCGCCCTGAAGGGGACCGTGACATCTAAGACGGAGGGTGAATTAGGCAACTAAAATGGTGTATCAACACCCTAGATATGTTTCCTCATCTCCATACACCTTATTTGACCGGTTGGGCGGTCTATTTATAAGCCCCACTAAGAAAGTAGCCATTGAGGATGAAATCCCACATTTCTTCTACTGACCGGACGCTCAGGTCATCCTGATCGGACGCGTCCGGTCGCCCCGACCGTTAGAGCCACGATCAACTGATCGAACGCTGCCAGCGTCTGGTCACATGCCACTGGACGCGTCCGGTCGCAATTTTGCCGCTCTAGAACCTCTCTGTACTCGATCGGATGCTGCAGTCCTATGTCCGGTCAATTTACCGCCAGCATCCGGTCAGTACTAGATGTGTTGCCGGTGATGATGAATAGTACCATCGGTGTGTCCAGTCACTTTACTGTTCAGCGTCCGGTTGCTGCTGCTGACGCCTTCTATTGCCGAGTCTCTTGATCGGAGCGTCCGGTCACTATACGCCAGCGTTCGATCCAGCATCCAGTCACCTCTGTGAGCTTGTTTCTTCGTGATCTTGCGTTCGGCTTAGTTCCTATCTTCGTGCTTGGACTATTCTTGATTTCTTGGGTCTTCTCTTGTGCTTCTAGGGTCTTGCTTATGGTGTTGATCATTGAATCATCATGTCGCCTTCGTCCAAGTCACGTCTTGCACCCTATTGGACTTTAAAACAATCACTTATAAATTCATTAGTCCAATTTGGTTGTATTGGTCATCAAACACCAAAATCCAAAGTAAATGGGCCTAGGGTCCATTTTTCTTACAATCTCCCCCTTTTTGGTGATTGATGACAACACGACCAAAGCAAGCAAATAATAAAATTTTGGAATTTAAAAACTATCTACTTGCTAGGATGCAATGCAAAAGGGCAAGGTTATATGATGCTAAAAGATACCACTTGTAAGAGTAAAATATACCACTTGAAAACTTATCTTGCCCTTGCAAATGTCCCCATGTGGTATTATGGATTTAAGCCTTGCTTTTTGATCCTACAAATTCTCCCCATTACATAGACTAATCCATAATCCACTATCCTCCCTTTCTCAGACCGTTATCACTTGTAAATTATTATGATCTTGCTTTTGGTCCTACAAATTAATGCTTGCTTTTGGTCCTCTAAATTCTTCCCCTTTGGAATCAAACACCGAAAAGGAAGACATTAGTAGCACAAGAGAGGGTCAAACTTTGTGATCCTTTGTATGTGGAGTGGAATGAGTCACAAAATTTGACTCT